CAAGAAGGTTGGCACCAAGAGCTCCCTTTGGACCAACCACCACCAGAACCCCCTCGACAACACGCGCCAGGAGATCCACGACCCCAACTTCAACTTTATGTACTTCGTTAAGATCGTGCCTACCTCCTACCTCCCTCTCGGCTGGGACAGTAAGGGTATCAAGATTGCTGGTCTCTTGCAGGACGACAACGCTGGCCTTGGAGCCTACGGTTACTCTGAAGATGGCAGCGTTGAGACTCACCAGTACTCTGTGACTAGTCATAAGAGAAGTCTGGCGGGCGGTAACGATGCCGCTGAAGGCCACGCAGAGCGTCAGCACACCAGTGGTGGTATTCCTGGCGTCTTCTTCTCCTACGTAAGTACATGTATCCTGACACTCGAAGCATGTCTCAAGCTAACACCTGTCTAGGACATCTCGCCCATGAAGGTCGTTAACCGTGAGGAGAAGGCCAAGACCTTCAGTGGTTTCCTGGCCGGACTTTGCGCCATCGTTGGTGGAACCCTGACTGTTGCTGCTGCTGTAGATCGAGGACTGTTTGAGGGTGCGGCTCGTATCAAGAAGATGCGAACCAAGGACCAGTGAAGGGGAAATTAGTCCGTTCAAGTCTACAATGTGAGATCAGCTCGGTTTGGCGGATGAGCTTTGACGGAGGTGTCCATTGGTGGGAGTAGTTGCACGTAGATATTGCAAAAGTCCAGTGCTATATGCGTTGGCGGGTAGGCGTTCTGGAATAGCTGGGATTTGAGCAGTGCTGTAAAGAACATGAGACTGCGAATTGAATACATTTGAGATTTATGCACGAGACCTTGGTCGAGTTCACTTGAAGAATGATTTGACGTAGGATGAACCGAAGGATGTCTCATGAGGCGGCTAAGAACGAAACTCGCTTCTATCCCTAGTTTCAACGGCCATACAAGGGAGGATTTATTGAGATCTGCAAACTCACAAGCATGGGACATGGGGGAGTGTGGGAATTTCTTGAGCTTGTCTTCTGGATTAACTCCATGCTGCCGGGGGAATCGTGGAAACCATACCCATGGAGTCGATCTTTGCTGCCTTTGTACCTGACAAGAAGGACGAGCACGGAGATTAGTGACGAGATAGAGAAGACTGTACGTAAGCATATAAAGCGAATGGTTTTCGCTAATAGTATGCTGTTTATCTGACACAAAGACTCAGCAAGGTTTCCATGATGTCGTCGTAGCGAGAAGCGGCAGTCAGAAAGGCGAATGTTGATCCGCGAAGAGGGTGCCTGGTTGGTCCTTGATGATGCAGAGAAGTAACATTATAAAAAATGAGATACGGACTGCTCTGACCACTTACATGTGGACGTTATACGATGATCTAACGTTCAGAACGCCAGCTTGACTAGTCCAAAAGGGCTGCAGAGAGTACCAATGCATTGATTGGCTCTCTAGTTTAGCACAGGTGATCATCTCAAAAACTCAATCTCAAATCAAGTCAACTTCATTGCTTTGGCCTGTTCATGTCGACATATCGTCTTACAGGTGAGCCTCTGTTTAAGAAAGCCAGTACAGTTGTGAAATCCTACATCACTGTAAATATTGATATGAGCAGTCATGACAGTCATGACAGTGGTGAAACGGTAGCTAAATGCTGCAATGAGAATCGAGCTGTACATAATACGATTCCACTGTTAGCCTTCTGCGCCACTGCAAGTGCCCTTGCATGGGTGATGTCTGCAGAAAGGTTCGTGATACGCAGATGACTCGGTTGTGACATCTCAATCCAGCCAGTGGGTGGAGTTGATATTATTTTGTATTTGCGTAAGCCTCATCTCAATACGCGTCAGATGGTTAATCTACTGTTATTAGTTGAGATTGAGGCTTAATTCGTATGTGAGAATGAGATAGACTGGATGAACACGCGTGCAATTTGCCCTGGTACCAGTCCAGTCCTGGTATGCCGAGTTTGCTTCATTATTAGCGCGACACATGGGTTACTAAAAAAAAACACCCGTGGCGGAGAAATACTCATGCCCAGGTACGAAAAGGTGGAGGCTTCTTAACGAGTCATCAGAGCTGTCGACTCTGGTCTCTTGGAATCTGGATCCATTTTGAATGGACGACAATCGTCGTCTAGACCATTTCAAATGGGCCATAGGGAGGAAATAGAGCATTCGGTCAAGCAATCCTGGTTTATTTAGTTGATGGGATCGCAATGCATAGCAAAGCAAAGGGGGCACTGAAGAGGCGCGGTCACCCAGCCTGGGCTCGACTTGTAAACACCACGCTAAAAGTGTCTTTGACTTGTTTCTACTCGGAGTCTGTGAGGCTGAGGATGACATGGGATGACATTGACGATACGCTAAGCATTGAAGGATATGTCAATGTTGTTGCTGGCTTGTGAGTATCATATTCGTTGACGGAGAGGGAGAGGGAGAGGGAGAGGATCATAATCCATAACATCTGAATGGACAAGACGTAAGATTACGATGAAATATGAATCTCGTTCAACTATAGCACACCTCATGCACAAATGAACAAGTACCCCAGACCTAGCGTTGTGGCTGCAACAGAATTGGTCCCTGGTTGGCGCCAGAACCCGGAAGCGGCTTGAACTTGGTGGGGTCTTGAAAGCCGGCCCCTGGCTGGTGTCTCATTGTTGCATTGCTTCTAGCAATGGCTTTTTGTCTTGTTGTTTTGAAGCCCTGGGAGGCGAAGATAAAGCAATAATTAAGGTATTTGACAATGGACTTTGTCAGACGCTAGGGACGTTGAGTTTATCTACCAGACACATGATACCTAGGTTGGTAGGTACTCTATCAATCACGCAGTCTAGCAATACCTTGCGTCTACTATAGATCCCCTGCTCATGCAACTATAAACGTTCCTTATCATCATTGCTGTTGTGTTACCACGGTCGCTGGTCGTTTTCCTCGAAAGCAGCGAGATTAAAGATGCATGTGGGCAACTTTAGTATGAGACTTAATGGCTGCCTTTCCGAGTAAAGTAAGGCACCATCTGTCTAATTTACCGGACTCTTCAACGCAAACATGGACCATCCCTTGTTGGGGTATCTTACCTACCTCGAAGAGGTTGCGTCTCCGTCTTGGGTGGGTTCGTTCCCGTCAAGACGAAAATGAAGCATTGCTCAATTCTAGATAGGCTTGCCGACTAGTTGTGGACTCAGAGTCAATAGTGAGCGCCCCTTTTGGTCATGAGGTGGCCCGTCTTGGGCAAGTTTAGTTCCGGAGGAATTGGGTTGTGAACAGTATGTACGTTAATAAAGCGGGGAGAGTATCATATCAGTGTCATGGCGCCATCAAGAGTGCTCGTATTTAAGGCTCTAGACAATTGATACGATGTTGCGGCTGAGGAGACAACTGTCCCAATCAAAGGTAGGTAGGCTAGACGGGCTAATAAGGCTTCCTTATCAAGTGGCGAGAGGGAGGAGCTTTACTCTGGGCTTTACGAGCGAGATATACAATACCTAGATTCATCCCACAAGATCAGATTGGATCGTGTTGAAGAGGCATGGGTGTGGTTGCAGATAGGTACTGTAAGGTTAGTAGTTTTAAGGGGTCGTCCACCCATGTGGATGGGCCCTGCACAAGGCTTCACATTGTGCAACTCTATGCCCTCATATCTTGACAAACCAGACATCATAGTCACACAGCGCCCAACATCTTCCTGCAGTGCTTTGTTCCCAATTCAGTAATCATGCCTTTTGGAGTGTCGCACAGCCCAACGCCTCTTGCTTCCCTTGTAGCTTGTGCCTTGGACCTCTGACTCTCTCCACCTTCCTATGGATTGGATCCATCAGAAAAGGGACGGGTTCCATGGATCCCTGATCCATCCATGCTGCCTTCTATCGCTCCACCCTTTCTTCCATCAAATCCTGACTGTCTTTGCACTGGAACCAATAACTAAGGTAGGTACCTAGTGAAGCTGCACAGGGAGCGTAAATTAATTAGTGCCTTGTGTTGTTGCTTGGGGGCCGGGCTATGGGTGGTCATGTACCGTTCCTTTACATCCCTCCATGGGGGGCTAGTTAATAGATGTCTTTCCGGCATCGTACTTTAATTACCTAGTAGGTAGGACATTAGGTCGGGTAGATTAGTAGCTCTCAGGCCCCTTCACCTTAAACCTCCACTACCTCCCACCTCAACTTTACCTACGCACCACCACCCGGTACTGTACATACATACATACCTTTTGTCCAAGACAACTTAGCCCTGTGACGCCGCCATTGTTCGCTGCTACTTACATACGTATTGTTTGAATTGTCATTCACGTACACGTACACGCACTCGCTGCTCTTTTTCTCTTCTTTCCAATTTCTTCTTTTCATTTCTCTCAGACTATTTGTGGCTGTGCTCTGTCGATTTCGAAGCCTACTTGCATAGATCAGCGTCATTCAGTGCTGTCCGTCACCCCACGAGGATCACCAACAACGGCCATTGAAGCTGAAGAGCGCAGTACCCTGAATATACGTCACGGCAGCGCGTCGCATTACCATCGACCTCACAGCGCCTCTCATTCCAACCGACGACTTCATCTGGTCTTCTGGCTCTTTGCTTGTTTCAACTTTGTTCCAGCGACCATCTCCGTATCACAATTCGCATAGCGCGGCCCGCGCAAGTTCCCTCTCCGACGCCGATCCCTCCTTGGCTACTACCTCTCGCCCTCGACTCGCCGTCATTCTTGACGTCTTTTGACCATCACAAATTATTTGCTTTCTTCCACCAAGATCGACAGCAGGCCTCCGTTTTGCACTGTACTCTATGCTCTCACGCAATATATTTGCTTAGACAATCGCTTCTTCGATTCATAGAGAGTTGCGACAACTTGTTCACTTTCACATAAACTCAGCGCAGCAATACGTCGACCTCCCCTGACTGTGCAGATTTCGAGCGCTTTGGAACTATACCGAAACGACTGTCGTCTTATTTTCGCATCTGTGCTTGGCTTCACAAGTTCCTGGTCTGCATGGAAACACGCCTCCATAGCTAGACTTTTATTCTAAAGCGACCACCATGTCGTCACGTCCGTCTCTACTAGATTTGCGATCGGATTCTTCGAACTCCAATCTTTCTACAGTCTCAAAACCCTTGCGCTCACCTCGCCTCCATGTTGCTGGCGAAGTTCCTCCTGAGCTGTCCCCCTTGGACGCTTTCGCCATGCAAAGCCGCCTGCTCGCAAGGCAATTACAAGAAAGCGCTAAAGAGGGCAACCGAATGAGTCGCCTTCCTCCTCTAACTGTTGAGAGCCCATTAATCGTCCAGGGTCGCTCTGAGTACTTTCGCTCATTGTCACAAGATTCAGGCTCCGAAGCCGGTGATCACCCCCCTCTGCGCCCTAGTTCTGGTCTCGCGGTAAGGACAGAGGTGGAGGATGCCTTCAGCGATGACGCTGAGCGCCCTGTGTCTATGCATCCACGAATGAGCCGAATACCGCCTACTCCCGATGAAGAGGTACCCGCAGTGCCTCCACGAGCTCCGTCTCGAGGACGGGTATTAGATCACATTGATGAGACAGGCTCATTTTTCGGCGCCAGGAGGGAACGATCGCCCTCACCGTTACATAGTGATACGCAGTCACAGTTTGACAAGCGAGTTGAATCATCTCCGTCTCGGAAAGACGACGCTGCCTCGCTACTTTCTGCCCGACGACCAAGCGGCTCGATCAGCGAATCAGTCACCTGCTCACCAGAAAAGCCCAAGCATTCATATGATGAACTCGGACTGGCGCCACCTCTGACCTCATTTCATCAAAGACGACGTACACCCAGCAATGTCTCATCTCCGGCATTGCCTACTGACGAGGATGGCTCTAGTGGTATGGCGGCTTCGTTTCACTCACTACCTCCACGGAAGCTATCTTCTGCAAGTGCAATGACATCCCCTGCGGTAGGCTCTTATCGACGATCTCCTTCCATTGGCTCCGAATCCTCTGCGCTTCCTCGACCGTCTTTCAACTTTTCAAGACCTATGAGCAGGTCTGGCACACCTGGTATGGAGCTACCCTTGAGACAAGCTTCCTCTGATAGCCAGCCTTCGTTCATTTTGGCTGATGAGTCGGCTCATACACCAGTGAGCATGCATAGTGAGGCTTTCCTTGAGCAACAGGCCGAAGACCGTGATAAGGGTGCGCCATCCTACATCTATTCCAAATTCTCACTCCCGAGAGGCAAGACCATTCAGCGCGCGGAACCAGATGAAAATAATCCGCAGGCTTCCTTCCATTGGGAACAATCCATGGTGCCCCCAAGCGACGTCCACCGATTTGAGAATGCCCCTCCACCATCACCTCCTACTCGACCTACAAGTTCCTCCGCCAATACCGTTCCAGACGATTCCCTGGCGTCGAGTAGCTCAATGCCGAAGGCATCAATCGAGCTGAGAAAGGTTCATTCGGAGACGACACCGCCACCGATGCCCCAGCTATCACCGACTGCAAGCAGACCATCTGCTGAGGAGCCGCGTGCATCAGAGGACGCGCCTAGAGGCCGAGGTCGAACGCCCGTGTCGATAGCCACGAGTGACACAGCAAGCACGATCAAACCACCCCCAACCGCTCGCTCGACAGCACCTACAGCATCAGAAATGAGTGCAGAAGAGCACTTGGCGAAGGGTATCGCATGTCATGAAAGTGGAGACCTCAAAGAGTCCACATACCACCTCAGATATGCAGCACGTCTAGGTGACCCGACCGCTATGCTCCTCTATGCGCTTGCCTGCCGTCATGGATGGGGTATGCGTGCTAATCAGAAAGAGGGCGTGGAATGGCTTAGAAAGGCCGCGGAATGCGCTAGTGTCGAGATCGCGGATGACGAGAGTCATGTCAAGGAGGGCAAGCATGTTGACGTTGTGGAACGAAGAACTCGAAAAGCCCAATTTGCCCTGAGCATTTACGAATTGGGAGTGAGTCACATGAATGGCTGGGGTATTGAGCAGGATAAGTCACTGGCTCTCAGGTGCTTCGAGATCGCCGGTAGTAGGTTTCCCAGATGAACCATTAACGGCCAATTGCTAACCAAGACCCTAGACTGGGGCGATGTCGATGCGCTGGCTGAAGCTGGCTTCTGCTATGCACAAGGTATTGGATGCAAAAAGAATCTGAAGAAGAGCGCCAAATTCTATCGCATGGCTGAAGCCAAGGGTATGAGCATGGTCGGGAATAGCTGGTAAGTCTCGACATCCAGAGCATATAACCTGCAATATACCTTTATGCTCACTAACGTTGAACAGGATTCACAAGGCCAAATACGATGACGACGGCGAGTCAACCGCGTCCAAGAAAGACAAGAAGAAGGCCCGCAGCAAATCTCGAACCAGAAACATGTTTGGACTGAAGTGAGCTCACGAGCCGCTTCAGTGACACGCCTACTATGATAATGATGACATCTTCGACATACCCATTTTAATCGGAGTTTTTACTGGTTTTCCATTGCATTGGGGGTTTCATGGGGATTAGGAGGAATATTCTTGTGCTCCCTGTAACGTCTGCTCAGGGCTGGAACTTATCCAGGTTAAGGAACTGGATTCAGTTTCGTGTTCAGTGTCGGATTCTAGATGAGGACTTTTAGTGACCATACCCCGATGAAAGGGTGATATGAATTATTATGCCTATTCCAGGCACAGCAAAGACACCGCTACTTGAATAGTAGTACGGTGGTTGTCTATTCTATTCAACACGTTCTTGGACACTGCATCTCATACCCAAGGACTAGCGAAAAGCAGAGGCACTCAAAGTAGACAAAAACTTGCCTTTTCTTTTTTGTAAATTAATTGCATTCGAAATATTGTATTGAGCTGCACTGGCATCATCAGTCACAACTCCGCCTGCCACAGATAAAGGCCTGTTCAGTGACCCAGTGTGTAGTGTACTGGTATCGCGTGTTGTTACATGCCGTGGTCTACCTCATCTAAAGTTCCGATAGGATCTCTATTTAGCTGTCAACGTCCATCTTCTCCTCCACGGGTACGTCTTCCACGCTAATGTACCGCTTAATCTCGTCCCTCTTGATGATCTTTTCGTTCAGTACCGCCGTCGTGCCCTTGGGGAAACGGTAACTCTGAAGCTTGGGATCCTTCTCGTTGGGCTTGATGTAGTTTCTCTTGAGTGTTGTCTTGTCCTTGGTGATGATAGCCACGTCCACGTTTGATCCCGAGCCCAGATCGTTCCAGACACCAGCAAGAATGGCATCGCTCGCCAGCTTCACGGCTTCCTCCTGGTTAAGGTCGGGCTTCCACTGCGTCTCAAACACACTCATAGCTGCCAGGCTACCACTGCCCATGGTAACATAGGGAAGCTTATCTGTGCTGCCGTGAGCGTGGACAGTGAAGAGGTGGGTGCCAGTAGGGTCGACGCCAGCAACGACCAGGTAGGCACCAATATGGCCCTGGTAGCGGAAGAGGTGCTGCTTCAGGAGGGTCATGCAGGTGACGACGCGGGGCTTGCGACCTGTGGATAGGGAGTGCAGCTCGAGTTGAGAAGAGATGAGGGCGGTGGTGAACTCTGTGTCAGCGGCGGTACCGGCGCCAGCGCACCAGATCTGAGGAGCGATGTAGTGAAGCTTCTCGCAGTTCTTGTCGGCGACAATGGGGCCGGATGTGGCTCGAGTATCAGCAGCAATCTAACGGAAATGTTGTCAATGCTGAGCTCTTGGTGGGATGGCGGTAGCTCCATTCAATGACCGAAGACCGGCGCTTGAGACAGCAAGGTATCACTTACCACAACACCACCATCAAATATGCATCCAACAATAGTCGTTCCAGTGCTGGTGGCCCTGGGAAGAGGCACTCCTCGGGCGTGGAGAGCCGCATTGCGGTTGTAGTTTGAGAAGTCGAAGCCTGGCATTTTGAGCGACCTATGATACCCCGATTGAAAATATCAAGATAGTTGATTTGCCCGAGTATCCGCAGGATAATGTGGTATCGCGAGAAACGATAAGATCGCTCAGGTATATTTTGCGATGGGGATGTTGCTGGTCGTTGACAATTGCGAGACGAGTTGAGGTTAACAAGGCAGAGCTGATGACGAGGCTAAAAGCTGCCTCCAGCAGTTGAGCTTCACTGAGCACCTACAGCCACATACATCGGCGCGCTCTGATTGGTCGAACCTTATAGGCACGACAGGCAGACCACGCTCTGGAGCAGTGCCTACCGAGTAACCAGTGGCTCAAACTTTAACACGTGAGGAGGAGTTTGGCAAGAGCATATTGAAGTCAATGAGTTCTTTGGGCAGCTTCGACTTGATATGAAGCTTCGTATCCAACCTAAACTCAAAACATCCCCAGCTCTTAGAGGTATCATCTAAAATCATCAGCAATTTCTAAGTCTTCTGCGCCTCTAGGTGCATCAATCGGACCAATCACTATCTGGCAAAGCACGTCCCCCAGCCTACCACTGCCTGGGCCAAAGCTCACCCTGGTCGCCCCAGCCCACTCCTATGCTGAAGGCAAATTTATGAACTTCAGGTCCTCTCTCCAAGGCCGGCTACTCTGCTACAGTCATGGCTTTCAGCTTTGGCAATTCAGGAAACGCCATGCTCGGGAGTACGGCAGGAGCAGGAGGACTGACTACAGGCCCTGATCTGGAGACAATTCAGACAGAGGTGGGTGCGCTGTTCTTCTAACTTGATGGTTTTATTTCATAGTCTTGTTTGTTTTGTTGACTTCATGGACGTGATGCTAACCACCCCCAATCTGTACAGGACCTCGGTTTTCTCTCTATCGCCGGCGACGCCAAGGTTCGCCTTACATCCGCGTGGTCATCTCTTCCATCTTCTACCGCGTCGCTTCTCAGCGTCGCTTCGCGCAAAGGTCTTGTCGCTGCTGCTGGTCCCGACCAAGTTGTCATCGCCACAACCGAATCGGTGCGAAAAGCTTTCGAAAAGCCCAAAGATGGCGACTCAGATATTCGCGAGTTCGAGCCTCAGCTCAAGATCCCTATGCCGATGCGAGTTTCGCAATTATCATTTACTGCGGATGAAAACTATTTAATCCTTTCCGCCGAATCTGGCGGCGGCTTGGCTGTCTATGAGGTTCAGAGCCTGCTATCTGGATCAACAAACTCGGCTTTCGAGCTATCAACGAACGGCGAAACCCTGAGAGTCATGATTCCGAACCCTACCCCTGAGAAGGCAGAGCTTTGCGCTATCGTTACGAACAACGGGAATTTGCACATGGCAAACCTGAAAGAGCGGCAAATCAGCAGCGTTCTTAAAAACCAAGTGAGCTGTGTTAGCTGGAGCTCCAAAGGCAAGCAACTATGCGCTGGTCTGGGTGATGGCACAATTTTCCAGATGACTCCAGAAGGAGAAGGGAAAGGAGAGATCCCTAAGCCGCCGAGCGTGGGTGACTTTCATGGTACGTAACTGCAAGGCTTCATTTAACGTCAAGATTGGCTAACATCATCTCAGTATCATCTCTCACCTGGCTCGAGAACCACTTGTTCTTGTCCATCCATACTTCAAATAACGAATCACCGCCGACCTCTATCTACCATATTATTACGCGCCAACCACCATCATCTTTCAACTTTCAAAAGCTTACCGATCCTGTGGAGCCGTTTGGATCAGACAAGACACCGCATCACTCGATTCTGCGACTCCGAGACTTTCCACCCGCTCTCCAAGATATGCTTATTGTCGCTTCTACCGCAGCCTCGGAAATGGGCGTTTTGAGCCGTTCCAAGACACCTCTGGCTACGGACAAGCCTGCAGATGCTATCACCGGAGTGTTCACGATGACAGAGTTCTTGGATGATACCAAGAGACCAACATTGCCAATGTCTGACTCCATGGATGATTCCACACCGATCGGTGTAGCTCTCGATCTTTCCGGCAAGGACAAGGTCTACAAGCCTATTCCATCGGACGTCGAATTGGAAGAATCGCCAGGTCCACTACCTGGGTTCTGGGTACTCACACATGAGGGTGTGCTTTGCGCTTGGTGGGTAGTCTATAACGACTCTATCAGACAAGGTACCTCGTATCCTCACTTGGCTGTGGTTGAGGGCACATCAGCGCCGACACCAGCTCCAGCAACCCAAACCGGTCCTGCAGCTTCGGCATCGCCCTTTTCCAATCCCACCCCCTCTGCGTTCGGCTCAGCTTCGCAGCTTGGACAGAAGTCCTCTCCATGGGCTGGTGCCAACACCGGTTCTGCTGCCCCTAGCACAGGGGGCGCTGTATTTGGTTCAAGCGGCTTCAGCAATACTGCAGCCACCTCTGCCCCGGCATTCGGCAAACCTAGTTCCATCGGCTTTGGGCAATCGTCCCAGCTAGGCGCGAAGAGCTCTCCTTGGGCATCAGCGTCAGGTGGAGCGTCAGCTGCAACGCCTGCTTTCGGCCAGTCGGGATTTTCGAGCTTCGCAAACAACAACAATACAAGCCCTTTTGGCAAGGCGGCGTCCAATTCTCCATCAAATGCTCCTGCATCAGGGGGCTTTGCTGGATTCGCCAGTAAGAGTGGATTTGCTTCTGTGAATAACAATAATAGTGGTAGCGTTTTTGGCAGTGGCAGTCAACCCGCTGCCAGTCCTTTTGGATCTACCTCAAATACCGAAACAGCTTTCCCGGCCAAATCAGAACAATCTTCTGGCAGTCCTTTTGGGTCTACCCCTTTCAAGCTCCAGAGTTCCTTCAAGCCTGATGGGTCTGCCAAGGACGACGCAGCTAAACCCAGCGGTTCTCTGTTTGGCAGTAACTTTGGATCAGCCCTTACCGATGCGACTAACAAACCCGAAGTTACGACGCCAACACCCAGGGATGAGGAAATGGATACCGCGGGAGCAACGGAGGAGACCCCCCAAGCAAAATCCAAGGACTCGCTATTCCCTGCGCAACAAAGTCCCGAGTCCACAACGCCAACTACAACACCTGCGCCATCTAAGTTCGGCTTTGCAACATCACCAGCCCCCCAGACATCAACTTTTGGACAACCATCGAAGTTTGGCTCCACTGGTGGTGGGCTTTTTGGAAACAAGTTGGAGACACCGAAACCCACTGGTCTTTTTGGATCTCCATCGAGTACCCCCAAGCCCAGCGGCGGGCTGTTCAGTTCAACCTCTGCGACACCCAAGGCTGGTGGAACCCTTTTCGGATCGCAGCAGAACACACCAAAGCCCAGTATTTTCGGAGGACAACAGAAGCCAAGCGGTTACACAGGAATCTTTGGGCAGAAGTCTGAGCCGTCTAAGGCTAAGAGCCCCGAGGCCGAAAACCCTAAAATCAAGGTAGAAGAAGATGATGCCCCGCTGCCTCCGGACACAACCAGTAAGGCTAGCTTTGCTGTTGGTGAATCGTCTTCCTCATCAGCGGCATCAAAGACTGAAGCCGCTCCTCTGCCCCCAGACTTCATTCCCAAGCCCAAATCTTTCTCGTCTGCTGCTAAAGCGGCCGAGGACTCTGATGCCCCCTTGCCGCCAGACTTTGTTCATGTATCCAAACCGACAGACAAGGAATCGGCTGCCTCGGCTGCCCCCCTCCCGTCTGAACCCATCATTTCTGCAAAACCAAGATCCGTTTTTGACAAACCAGATGGTACTCCAAAGGCGCCCTCGAGCCTTTTCCCCGCCGTCGCCGGACCGCCTTCGGACGATAGTGATGATCTGGATGACGAAGATGACGACGAAGAGGAAGACGATGATGGAGAGGAAGGAGAAGGAGAAGAAGGAGTTGATGAGGATGAGGATGGCGGGTCTGAGGGCAGTGGTATCGATGTTGCCAAGGATCTGAGCCCGACAGTCAGCAACCTCACTCCCGGTTACACACCTCAGAGCTCATTTGGTGGACCTGGCGGGCATGCTCTTGGAAGCCCCCGAACAAATCAAGAAGGCTCGCGGCCTTTGTTTGGCGAACTTAGCCGCAACGCCCCCGTGTTCCCACGACCTAACGCGACCAGCCCCCGCTCCCCGAGTCCGGTTCGAGGGGCAGTGCCGAATAGGGTCCTCAGGTCAGAGAACATGAGATCTGTGAGTGCCCCAGGAATTGCCTCGCATCTCCTCGGAAATAGACAATCACAGATGGGCACTTCCATAACCAGCAGAGACGTTGGCGCGTCAGAAGATCCATTTGTGGCCCAGCATCGTAAGATTAAGGCCAAGCAGGAGGCTGCAGAAACCCAGCCATTAGTTGACGAGGATGATGATGAAGTTCAGAAGCTTCTGGCATCAGAAGTGGAAGGAAGTTTGTCCCTGGATGAGTTCATTGCCCATTCAAACGTCGCTCCGCCTGCCAAGGAAAGCATTCCAAGCCAAGTTGAAGCAGTCTATCGCGATATCAATTCGATGATTGATACACTCGGTCTCAATGCGCGAACTGTCAAGTCATTCATCAAGGGCCACACGGAGAACTGCAAGCAGGGTGGACGCAGTAAAGAGGATCTTGATGACCCCGAAGACTGGGTTCTTTGCGAGGTTGATGAGTTGGGAAACATCTTGGACAATGAACTGTACAATGATCTTGAGGACGGGCGGGTTCGTGATTTGGACGCTAAACTCGATGCTTGTCACGAACTTAGCAGAGATATGCATCGCCTTCGAGCTAAACAGGAGGATTTGAAACAAATCCTTATGATCAGAACCGACCCTGACCAGGCCGAAGTAACACGATCTATGCCTCTGAGTGCGGAGCAAGCAACACAGCAGAACGAACTGCGACGCGAATTCGCCAAGTTCTCGAAGCTCTTGGCTGATGCAGAAGAAGCCTTAACGCTGCTCAAGACAAGAATTGCAACCGCCTCTGGCGCTTCAGGCAAAGGCAAGACAAACGTTCCTACGGTCGAGGCGGTGATACGTACTATTGGGAAGATGACGGCGATGGTTGAGAAGCGCAGCGGAGACATCGACGTTCTCGAAAACCAGCTGCGCAAAGTCAGTCTCAACTCTACAAGCCGGGAGGGGTCTCCTATGGTGACACCACAGGGAAGGAGGAGCATCATGTTCTCCCCCGAAGGAACGCCCGTAAGAAATTTGCGCCATAGCTTTGCGGGCAGCATGTCTCTGGGTGCATCTGTTCGAGCCACTCCCCCGCGCAAGAAACTTAGTGGCTTCAGTCGAGAGGAGAAGGGTGACTTAATGGAAAAGAGAACACGACGGCAAGCGGTATTGGGCAAGCTTAAGAGCAGCGTCGAGAAGAGAGGTGTCAATGTTTGGAATATGGAGGATATCGAATAATCAAGGACAATGACGCAGGATGGACATTATCACGGCGAAACAAGACAGAACATGGTGATGAATAGGGCATGGAGTAACCAAGCAACTGTATCTTAGATTTTAAATAGTGTATCAATTGGCCAAAGCAGCTACCCGGATAGCTAATGTTATCCCCCCCCTGTGATATATATTCCTTTTTTTGGTCATGACAGTGCTCTGCAGCTAGTTCGACTACGAGAATCGTAATTTCAGCTCAATAAGCCGTTTTGTCGACCTGATTACGACCAATTGATTTCCCTACAAACAAAACAAAAACAAAAAAAAAACACAAACGCCATTTTACTCCTCGGGTATCCTCCGATGTTGAATTTCATGAAGACATATGTCGTGCAAGCATTAAACTAGCGGTCAACTCACTCAGGCTGCTGGAGCAGGCGGAGCGGCAGATCGTGGGATGGCAGACTTGGGGTCTGTGGCTGGAGTATTGTTGGAGATATCGCGAGGAACGTTTGATGGGTTAGAGTGAACCCGGCAATGTTCCTTGTTCTTGTGCTCGGGGTGAGGTCGAGGAGTGTAGCTAAGAGGCCACCGTTAGGTGATGGGAGTCTTGAACGAGAATCGAATCGACATACTTGACGAAGGAGAGCATCCTGAAAGGTTGTTGGTCTGTTGCCGTGTATAAGTGGTAGATGTTGTTGACGGTGCTTAGGTGTATTTCTCAAGATCCGATTGATGAATTGGAGAAAAGGTGGGAAGTCGGCGAGTATTATATAGCTGATCTCTTCTCTGATCAAATCAACTTACATACATTGTATTACAAACGATTGCTTGGCCGGACCGGTTGTGCTCTGGTGACTGACTGAAAGGACGTTTGAATTGCACGTGTGACCGGCATCAACTTTGAGGACAGAGCAGGGGTACGCCGAGGACTTTGAGTTTGACTGGAGGACATGGGCGCAATACTGACGTCGTACGGGTTGCCCGGACAGGGAAGCGATGGCATCTCTCAGCGGGGGTAGAGCCTGCGCCTGACCCCAGGAACGAGGAGGATGAAGTGCGCCGCAGCTGGTCTAGGGGATCCTAGTATGTATGTATTGTTCATGATGGCTTGGGGATGGGAGTCTGGCGATGGACGACGACTGATTGGGTGCGCTGATGTGGCCAGAGGCCGGCCCGGTGAATGAGTCTGTTACATGAACACTTCCCGACTACGGAGGAGCAGGGGCGCAATCTCGGCATCCTAGACAAGAGGCGAAAAAGACTCGTTGAGAGATTCGTCTTACAAGCGAGCTTTCAAGGGCCTGTGTCTGGGTGATGCGGCGTAAATGATCCGAAGTCGCTCATCATCAGATCAGGGTTCTGGTTTTACGAGATGAGATTTACATGCTCTCAACAACAATAGCAATGCCCTTCCTCATGAAAGAATTCAACGCAGGCTGTCCTCGTGCAAAGCCACCTCGACTGACATTGTCACTGTCATCAGACCATGTTCTCATAATATTAGGTACGTACCTGCAGCTTCGCAGCCCAAACTCCGGGTTCATCGTCAGTGGGGCCCGTGGTCTGAAGCCGACACCCACCGAAGCATGGGTCGGGCACGGTCGGCGGTCTCGGAGACGAGTGGGGAAACCTGCGCCGTCTCTTTCTGCAGGCAAGATTGGCAGCCCGGGATCCACTAACTACCTAACTAATTAGTTCTTCACCTTGGATTATCCACATTCTTCACCTTCCACTCACCGAATCTTCACCTTGGAGGGGCTTCAAAAAATTATTGTTTGCTTCGCTCATCACCGACATACGTTTATTACAATCACCACGCCTACTCACCAGTCTGCAAATACTTAATACCCAGCACCACAATGGCACCCACACAGCAGGCTGCGTGGAGAAAAGCTCCTACTGCAGAGGAAATTGCCAATCGTCAGGTAAACTTCAATTGAGCAATGCTGAATGCACTGTAACCTAACTTTTGCGCCCAGACCGTTGGCATCAACAAGGAAACCGTCACAAACATCACCTCGACTGATTACCCAGGCCATCACCCTGGCGAAGACCTCGCATTCACGCTCGATCGTTTCCGCGATGCGTTCTCCGTAAATTTCCACCAGAACGATCAGTTCCTCGCCTCTTTCTCTCTTGTCGGAATCGACGCTTCGCTCGCAAACGCTTTTCGACGTATTCTACTCTCCGAGATCCCCACCCTCGCCATCGAGAACGTTTATATCGAGAACAACACCTCTGTCATTCAAGACGAGGTTCTCGCGCATCGCCTTGGACTCATCCCCTTCAAGGGTGGTCGTGAGGGTCTGCACAACTTTCTCAAGTGGCACAAGAAGCCAGAGGCTGGCGAGGACCCTTATGCCGGCTGCTTCGACTGGAACACGGTCCGCCTCGAGCTCAACGTGACATGTACCGTCAATGAGGACGCTTCGCCCGCTGAGAACGACCCTCTCAAAGCTTACCATAACGCCCACGTTTATGCGCGCGACATCGTCTTCGTTCCTACCGGCAAGCAGGCTGAGTACTTCAGCGGCGAGGACGCCATTGCGCCCACGAACCCAGACATCTTGATCGCCAAGTTGCGACCCCGACAGACCATTAACCTCGCCATGCATATGCACAAGGGAATTGGATCCGATCATGCCAAGTTCTCTCCTGTTGCGACAGCCTCCTATCGTCTCCTACCTACCATTACCATCACCAAGCCTATCTTGGGCACTGACGCCGAAAAGTTTGCCAAGTGCTTCCCCAAGGGTGTCATCGGCCTCGAAAAGGTTACGGCAGAGGAAGCTGCTCAGTCTGGTAGCGGTTATGAGGGCCAGGAGGGCGAGACTAAGGCCGTTGTTGTTGATGCGATGAAGGACACTGTCAGCCGAGAGGCTCTACGACACAAGGAGTTTGAGGGCAAGGTGAAGCTTGGCCGAAGGCGAGATCATTTTATCTTCTCCATCGAGAGCACAGGGCAATGGGATAGCGATGAGCTTTTTCTCGAGTCAGTTAAGCACCTCAAGCTCAAGTGCAAGAAGCTTGAGCAGCAAGTTATCAACATGGCGAGGTAGCCTACTATATCATCAAGAGATTTCGGGTCTTGTTCGGCGCAGTATCATAATTTTTGGGTTGATTTGTTTTCTGCGGTCTCTACGGTTAGATAAAAAGGAATGATACCATGACCACATCACAATATTCGTCACCCGTTTGCTCTCTGCCCCCTAAAAGAATACTCATCTAGTATTTTTGAGTCGTTATCATGTACCTCTCGTTCATTAATTCAACGCCTAAAGATGCCCAAAAGCCCGAACGCCCTTTACTGACCACTTGGCCGAGAATCAAGAACTTGTCTTGAACTTGAAGTAAAAGTTGAATTCAAGGGGGAACGCAGGATCAGTGACAACCACCTGCTGTCCGTCTTCGAGCCCAAGCTCTGTGAGGGTCTTACTCAGGTTCGGGCGTGTCTGCTCCTCCAAACCTGGAGGGAATTGCATGTATAGAGTCTTTCCTTCAGCACGGATCGATGGCTTCTTTAATTGCGCTTCGGGGCGAATCGCGAATGAGTCGATTAACTCCTGCAGAGTGGACTTGGGGTTGACTTCAAGAGGGCGAGCCTGGCGTCCACAGACAGGGCAGTCGTCCTTCCTCTCATGCTTGAAGGTGTATGTGTAGATGCTGTCATTGCCAGAGTACATCATGTAGTTTGTGTCGAATCCAAGACAGGGGGCGGAGGTTGTCGCGATTTTAAAAGCTTCGTTGCAGCATGCAGCGGCGATGATAGCATTGGTAGATGCGATCGCCGGAATGATGTTCTTGATGGTTCCTTGCGTTAACGAATAAGTGACACCAGGGATGCCAAACTCTTCCGCACGAGCAAGCGCTTTCTGGAACAGCCAGGTTACATGCTCTGGGTCATCCTTGTCAAGCTTCGGGAATGGCTTTTCTTGCTCCCAAGCAATGACGTGAGCCCATTCAATGCAGTGCTCGGGTTGTCGTGGGATTGAGGCGATAGTACACAGAGGGACAGCGGCGCGCGGGGCGTGCATATCCAGCTGGCACTCGATACAGGATGTCATGGATGGGAGGATGACTCGCGCCTGTCCCTTGAAACCTTCAGTGCCACCATCAATGAGGGGCTTTATCGCATCAGGGTCTTCAGCGTCTTCGGCAATAGAAACAAGCATGGCGTTGATCCAGCGGCGGGCCTCGATGCTGTCTAGCCCGCAAATTACAAGCTGGAACTGCTTGTAAAACTCCTCGTCAAAGTCCTGGATACGGTTGTTGTGGGCTGTGATGGAGACGCCCTTGACTCTCTTTTGGACGAAAGCAGCGGCTACCTCTGCTTTGTATTTGCCAACATCATCTTTTCGGAATAAGAACTGGCGGTTGAGGTTGGAAATATCAATGGTATCTAGAGCAAGGTGAGCCAGCGATCTTTGATAGAAAAGACGATTCACAGACCCATGTCTATTACGTGAATGTTCCTGAATCTCGACATGGCAAGATTTTTCAGAATTTCACATCCTAGGCCTCCTGCGCCGCTGTGTTATGGAAGTTAGTGAGCCGGACATTTGACTCTTTCAAGAGAGGTGACTGACATGACGCTACACAAATTAGCATGGCTTTCATAGGATGCTACATGTGCACATCAACACTCACAGAACTTTGAACGTTTCAAACTGCGCCAGAAACTCCGGTGCAGTAGCATCGGGGTCGGTATATGGTCCTGCGTTACGGCGGACTTGGTCGAGGTATTTCCTTGCATTGTGGTCAGTTGTTTGTTTGTGGTTTCAAGAGCTCCAACAGCTCCCAGCTCAAGGGTCTTACCATCGCGCGTCTTCGTAGCCGCCGGCAGCTTCCTGAGCCACACTAGTCATATTGAAGATTTCCAAAGACTTTGTAGTAAACGGACAACAAGCCAAAAGAATGTATGAGTAGGTTCGCAGGGAGATATGTAAGATCAGAGAGTGGCCCGCAGCTTGGTTACTAAGGTAATAAGGTAAGGAGCTCTGAAAGGATCCGTGCGTGGGGGAGGATCGTCATTGCCTGGAGCTGGCTCGGTGAAGCTCGGTGAGGGTGGGGTCAAGGTGAGTAATGCTTTTGAGCACCTAAACCTAAACACCAGGCAATAATGTATATCTCCATCAAGCTTTCACCAATATTCAAACAACATGACATTTCGTGGACAGCCCGCCAAATTAAGCTGCACAGACTAGAATGGACGACCTTCTCACCCCTGTGAGCACAACCTACCTCAAACCTCGGAATGAGCCCGAGCCACTTTTCACAGAGGTTAAACCAGCTTCTACCGCTTCTACCCAAAAGAAACCACCCAGCATCAGTGACAAATCGACGGCTGATGAAATCATCGATGCATTAAAAAGTCAACCAGACTACGATACACTTATTTCGATACTGAATTTTCTAAATAACCTAAAATCTGCATCGAGTAACTTCTCATTCTCAACACCCAGTCCCAAGAGTGCGTCTATCATCCATTTGCTTGTCTCAGAGATCGCATCAAATTACTGGACACTTTTGCTTGAGGGAGATATTGAAGACGATACAAAGGGCAAAACAGAACTTCCACGAGATGCGGATCTTTTCCTTGGCTGTCTTCGCAGTCTGACTGGTCTTAACGCTGTCATCACGCAACTGCGA